TCTCACCTATGCTTGTTATTGTCTATCTTTTGTATTTGTTTCAGTGGTTGTGAAATGTTATCTCATTATGGATTTAATTTACATTTCCATAATAACTAATACACATAATACATTTTTTGTTCTAAGTTGAGAGCGGCCTTCTTCTCATTAACTCATTCATAGTGCTTCTACATTAGAGTTTATGATTATCGGCAACAGAGCCTAATTGTCACTCTTGTATATTACTACCCCTTTTCCCTTTTTTTTAGGGTCTCTACCTCATTTTTAGAAAGGTTTCTTTTTTTTTTAACTTCCATCTCTACAGACTTTGATTCCTTTTTAACTCTAGGTTCTCATTTTTACTATCACTTTTCCCTCTTATATGTTAAATCTCCCTTGCCACTTTTCTCTTGCTTACAAACATACCTAGATTCTATATACAGTCCCTATCAAAATTCCAATAATATTTTCACAGAAATAGAGAAAAAATGCTCAAATTTTTATGGAACTACAGAAGACCCCAAATAGTCAAACCAATCTTGAAAAAAGAATAAATCTGGAGGCATTACAACTTCAAACCCACAAGGAGGTATCACCTCACACCTTTTGGGATAGCTATTATTTTTTTAAAAAGGATAACTGAGGATGTGGAGAAAAGGGAAACCTGGTACACTGTTGGTAGGAATATAAATTGGTACAGCTATTTTGGAAAATAGTATGGAAGTTCCTCAAACACTAAAAACAGAATTACCACATGACCCAGTAATCCCACTTCTGGGTATTTATCCAGAGGAATTGAAATCAGAATCTCAAAGAGGTACCTGCACTGCTTTGTTCGCTGCAGCCTTCTTCCCAATAGCTCAGATGTAGAAACAACTTAAATGTTCATCAACAGGTTAATAAAGAAAATATAATATAATGGAATACTATTAAGCCATAAAAAAAGAAACCCTCCCATTTGCAACATGGATGGATCTAGAGGGTATTATGCTCAGTGAAATAAGCCAAACAGAGAAAGACAAATACCATATGATTTCACTTATTTGTGGAATATAAAAACAAAGTGAAACAGAAGGAACAAAACAGCAGTAGATTTCATAGACACTGAAAAGTGACTAGTGGATGGGGGAGAATGGTGAGGAGAATAAAGGGGTGTAAAAATTCTCAGTCATAATATAAATTGGTCATGGGAACAGTGCATCATGGAGAATATAGTCAGTGATTCTGTAACATTTTTCTACATTGATAGATAGTAATTGCAGTAGAGGGGGTGAGGATTTAATAATATGGGCAACTGTTGAACCACTCTGTTGTACATTTGAGACCATAAGATTGTAGATCAATGATACTTCAATTTAAAAAGATGTGGTATAACCATATAATAGAATAGTACTCAGTCTTCTAAAAAAATCTGCCATTTGCAACAACATAGATGGATGGATGTAGAGGATATTATAGTAAATGAAATAAGCCAGACACAGAAAGATAAATGCTGTATGATCTCACCTAATATTTGTAATCTAAAATAGTCAAACTCAAAAGAGGCAGAGAATATAATAGTGGTTACCAAGTACTGGGTGGGAAGGGGTAGAGAAATAGAGAGTTATTGGTCAAAGGATACAAATTTCAGTTATGTAAAATGAATAAATTCTGAAGACCTAAGATATAGCATGGTGCCTATAGGTAGCGATACTGTACTGTATACTTAAAATTTGCTAAGAGGGTAGATCCTAAACGTTCTCACCATGCACACACGTGAAAACTAAGTGAGGTGATAGATAAGTTAGTTCATTTAATTGTAGTGGTTATTTCACAATGTATACATTTACCAATCATCAAATTTTATACCTTGAATATACAAAGTTTTTTTTTAATGCCTGGAAGTTTCTACTATCATGTACAAACTACCATCCCATTCTCTTGATGCATTACAAAATTTTTTTTCTGTGATCCCTGCCTCCATTTCTTTACCTTTCCATTCTCTAGTTAATATATCCAGTTTGTTTTTGCCATTTAATTAAAATTGCCTTCTTAGAGATCAACAACAACCTCAGCAAATCCTGTAGCTTTTATTTAGAGCATCTGGTATCACTGACCACTCTTGACATATACTTAAAATTTGTTATTTGGAACACGTATGATTCAAGTTTGCCTCTTAATTTTCTGATAGCTCTCAGTCTCCTTAGTAGTCTCCTCTTCTTCCTTCTCACTGTAGGTGTTTTATTAGATTGTCTTTGGCTTTCTGCTTTTATTCCTTTTTTTTTTTTTTTTTTTGGTGACCCACTTAAATTTTATTCCTACTCAGAAGATGAACATGGAAAAATGCAATCTGCAATTTAACCTAACATTTACCATTACCTTTAAGTCCACAGAGCATCTTGGTTTTGTTTTTTGTTTTTTTGAGAGGGCATCTCTCATATTTATTGATCAAATGGTTGTTAACAACAATAAAATTCGGTATAGGTGGGTCAATGCTCAATGTACAATCATTAATCCATCTCAAGCCTAATTCTCGTCAGTCTCCAATCTTCTGAAGCATAACGAACAAGTTCTTACATGGTGAACGAATTCTTACATAGTGAATAAGTTCTTACATGGTCAACAGTACAAGGGCATTCATCACAGAAACTTTCGGTTTTGATCATGCATTATGAATTATAAACAATCAGGTCAAATATGAATATTCGTTTGATTTTTATACTTGATTAATATGTGGATCCCACATTTCTCCCTTTATTATTATTATTTTTATTTTTAATAAAATGCTGAAGTGGTAGGTAGATGCAAGATAAAGGTAGAAAACATAGTTTAGTGTTGTAAGAGAGCAATTGTAGATGATCAGGTGTGTGCCTGTAGACTATGTGTTAATCCAAGCTAGACAAGGGCATTAAAACATCCACGGATGCAGAAGATTTCTCTCAAAACAGGGGGGGTGAGGTTCTAAGCCTCACCACTGTTGATCCCCAGTTTCTCACCTGATGGCCCCCCTGCGACTGTGCCTGTCTTAGGTTGTTCCTCCCTTGAGGAATCTTACCCGTCTCTGGCTAACCAGTCATCTTCCGGGGCCATACAGGGAGATGTAAAGTTGGTAAGTGAGAGAGAAGCCATATTGTTTGAAAAGGTTAGCTTTTTACTTCTTTGCAGATTTATGCCCTGTGGAGCTTTTATTCTTATATTCAATTTTCTTGTCACTTCTACCAGATGACACCCAAATCTTTCTCATACCTGAACTGTATAGGTATTTGGGGACATTCATAAAATAGCTTATAAAAAGAATGACTGTTTTATCGTTGTCTTTAGAGACTACATCTGTTTTGTTCTATAATGCACTAAAGCTTTATGGTCTTCCAGTGTTTAATAGGCTAAATAAAATTAACCCCAAAACTGATTTTGGCCTGAGAACTAGGAATTTCCTTTTCATTATTTATTCAAATACTCTAGGAGGGAAACTTATTGGTTACACATTTCCTATTTCTTGTAAGAGCTGCTCAATTAAATCTGCTCTCACTTGTGTTTTTCTTCCCTTTGCAACCTTTTGCTTTTGCTTGTTTATAGCCCTTACCTGAGGAAATATTCTTCCCAATAGATGGCATATGTACCAGAAAGGTATCAACACTAGTAACCTTGTACTAGAATTTAGAAAAATCATTCTTGAACTCAATATCCTACTAAGGTAGTGATTGCCATTTATAGACACTAAGATATAATTCTTCTAGCCTTCTCTGTCCTTTATTCCTGAGAAGACTGCCTTTATAACATGTTCAGATGTCAGTTTTTTACTTTTTGGAAAGAAATAACATTGAAACAATACAAAAATCTTCAGTGTCTTTTAGCATAAATTCAATGGGGCATTCCTAAAGAATACCTTTAATCTTACCTTCTCTAATAAAGATACAGTACTCATTCAACAGCTCTTGTATGCTGCTCAGCGATTCTCTTAAGCATCCTATATGCCGGGCACAGTGCTAAACACAGGCCACAGAGGTCTGGAAGAGCCCTTACCCTCAAGGAGACAGGCCAAGTAAAACAGCAAATACAATTGTGAAGTGCTTTAATGCAGGACACACTATCCATTCCTTTCCATTCCACAAGTATTTGTGGAGTACCTAGTACGTCCTGGCAGTCTGCTTGGCCTTAAGAATTCAGCAATAAATAAGAGACCAGGTCCCTTCCCTCATGAACCTGTCTTCATTTGGACTTGCAATGCCTTAGGTGAAGGGATTTTGCACTGCTGTTCCTGCTTACCTAGAATGCTCTATCTTTGCATGGCTGATTTTTCACCATCTCAGAAAATCAGCCTTCCCTGTCCATCTTATTAATATTGTCCCTTTCCCCCAAGTCACTGTCTATTATCTTGGAGTTCCTACAAAGTACTTATTACTATTAGAAATGGTATTTGTTATTTACTTCTTTATGGTCTGTCACTTCTTTGAGACTTTGCCTCGTTTGGTCATTACTGTATCTCTAAGTGTTTAAACAGTGCCTGGCACATTTGGGGCACCTAACAAATATTTGCTAAATGGATGAATTAGTGAATGGATGGATAGTACCAGAAAAAGGCGTTCAAGTAAGGTAGTTTCAGATAGTGAAAGTGTGGGTACTCAGAGAAGGTATATGAAGAGTGGAGTTAGGCAAGTCTGATGTACTGAAGTCTGTCACTACTTTTACTCCAACCTTATTCCCATTCCCCCCTTCATCTCTATTACCTTTCTTCATAGTGCTTATGCCTTAAGACCTTGATTTTTATGACCTCTTGGCCACAAGATAGTGTTTATATCCTAAGGGTTATAAATCCCTTCTAAAATTTTGCTTTACTGATAAACTTTATCTTATTCTTCTTAAGCTTTATTCTTTTCGCTAATACAAAATGCCAAAATATCTGTAGATTTTTCCAAGATGCAAATGGTATACAGGTTTGCTTTTTCTTTTCCTTAATGAGTGCTTAACTTATGTGTCTAAAAGCCCATGACTCTGTTTCTGATTGAATTTAAAATTTTTTCTTATCGATTTTTTTCCTCTAGTAACCTTGGAATGGATGTCTGGGATTCTAATGAAGATACAACCCCCCCATCTAATTCTATGGAAGAATCTAGGGATTGCCCCCCAAATGAAGACTTTTATGGGTAAAGTAACAATTTTAGATGAATATTTTGTGGAAGTTGAGAAGCATATACTTGGATAATGGGTTGGGGGAAAAAAATCCGTGGGACTGGGAATCAGGAAATTTGCATTTAAATCTTAGCTCTGCCACTAATAAATTTTATGTAATCTAAGCCAAGTGCCATAATCTTTTCAGACCAGACCACTATCATTTAAAATTTGTGACATGAAGCAGTTAGACCAGTTAGCTTTTCTTAAGCTCTAGTCTGAGGACATATGAAATTAATATTTCATGAGGTATTATTAGTTTTACAGGAACAAAACCAGTGTTTTTTAAAGACAATTATCTTTTGGAGATGCGAAGTGTCTATCACCATGAACATTAACTTAGTAAAGACCTTGGAATTTCTGAAGTAAAGAAATTCAAAAAATTAATTAATTAATTAATTTTAAAAAGAAAGAAATTCATTAAATTTTGTTTGACCCAGCATTTCCCCCAACTTGAGCACAGAACTCTTTTCCCCCCTTATAGAATAAGCATTAATATAATATGGGATATTAATGTTCCCTATGTTATTTGGTAAGTATTGAACTAAGTAATCTCTATGAGCACATCAACATGAACATCTACTAATATATCAGAAACTGAATTGAGGCTATCAAGTGGTACTAATTTCTTCTGTGACTTCCATACATGTATGTATATATATGTATCTTTATAAACTGATAGAGACAATTTAAAAATTACCTTGAAACCTTTTTTCTCTCTTAACTAAAAAAAAGTTTTTGCATTTTCAACATAAACTAATTTGAGAATACACAGTACTATTTTAAATTATGAGAAATATTTGATACTTGTAACTGAAATATAACTGTTACTTCCAGTAAAGTGAAATTAGCAACTGTGAACTGATTTAATGGACTGTTCTATCACTGTTTCTTCTAGTCTCAATTATCACCTCAAAACATGAAGCATTTTGCCCCCTGAACTGTTCTGATATTTCTCTTCCCTAGGAAAAGAAATATTTAAACAGTGCCAGGCACTATGTTAAGCATTAGCTAGCATAACAGGGTATGCATGAAATATTTGAGGGGTGTACAGAACTCCAGCTTACCATGGCATTTCATATCTGCCTTGACACAGTCTCTTTCCCTTATATAATCTCTGCATTCCACTTCTAAGGAAGCATTTGTTTATCTTTGATGAATGAAATCTTTGTGAAAATCTCTTAGGAGTTGGTGCCAGAAACTGTTTTTGGGTTGTTTTTTTTTTCTAGACAATATTTGGGGGGCTTTTGTTGTTTATTTTTGTTTGGGTTGGGTTTTATTTGTTGCTTCTGTGAAATTTTTCTTTTTGTTCTTGTTGCTGGGAAGTAAAGTTCTAACTTTATGGTTAATTATAGTATCCTGGGTTTTTAATAGTTACCTTTTTTTATTCAAATGTTATCTATTCCTCTTTTTAATTCTGCTTCAAGTTGTTGTGTTTTTTGTGTTATGAAATAGGTTGGCAGTCCTTGTCTAGCTTGGATTAATACTTAGTCTATAGGCACAGACCTGATCATCTACATTTGCCCTCTTACAGCACTAAATTATGTTTTCTACCTTTATCTTGCATCTACCTACCACTTCAGCATTTTATTTTTTTAAAAAAATAAATAAGTAAGGGAGAAATGTGGGATTCACATATAAATCAAGTATAAAAATCAAATGAATAATCATATCTGACTTGATTGTTTATAGTTCATGATGCGTGATCAAAACTGAAAGTTTCTGTGATATGACTGCCCTTGCACTGTTCACCATGTAAGAACTTATTCACCATAGAAGAACTTGTTCACCATGTAAGAACTTGTTTGTTATGCTTCAGAAGATTGGAGACTGTTGAGAATTAGGCTTGGGGTTGATTAATGATTGTGCATTGAGTCCCCTATACAGAATTTTATTGTTGTTAACAACCATTTGATCAATAAATATGAGAGATGCCCTCTCAAAAAAAAAAAGTAAAGGAGAAATAAAGACTTTCCCAGACAAATAGAAAAAAAAAATAGGTTGGCAGTTCCTTATAAAACTAAAAATGATTTAGCATATGACCCAGCAATTGCGTTCTTGATTTTATCCCAGAGAAATGAAAACTTGTGTTCACACAAATTCCTGACATGAATGCTCATAGCAGCTTCTTTTATAAAAATACTCAAAAACTGGAAACAGTCCAAATGTGTAATGTTATTTTATATCATAAGCTCTATTAATACTCTCTATGAAGAGTAATTATATGAAAATCAACACGTTTTTTTATCTTTTTTTCTGACATGAAGTCAGTACAATAATCCAGAATGTGATTATCATATTTGTAGGATTACTTCTTTAACCTATTAGATAAATTGTGGCAAAAGTAATCTGGTTTTGACACATTCCTTTAAATGAAAAGATGCTGTGAAATGGGTTTGTTACCATATTTTAGTGAAAAAAATAATTCTATTTAATACCAACACACTTTTGTTTAGAAATTGTTAAGTTGATATTTCCAGGAGAGAGTTTTAGGCTCATAAGCAGATAAAAAGGAGAAAAATGGAAATGAAGCACAACCCAATTTAGGGGATACCACAACAAATTTTTTTTTATTAAGGTATCACTGACATACAGTCTTATGAAGATTTCACATAAAAACTGTGGTTACTACATTCACCCACATTATCAAGTCCCCACCATACCCCATTGAAGTCACTGTCCATCAGCATAGTAAGATACCACAGAGTCACTACTTGTCTTCTCTGTGCTACACTGTCTTCTCTGTGACCCTACACACATTCCATGTGTACCCAATCATAATACCCATCAATCCCCTCCTCCCTCCCTTACCACATACCCCCACACCTCCCCTTTAGTAACCGCTAGTCCCTTCTTGGAGTCTGTGAGTCTGCTGTTGTTTTGTTCCTTCAGTTTTGCTTTGTTGTTATACTCCACAAATGAGGGAAATCATTTGGTACTTGTCTTTAGGATATGTACCGCATGTTCTTTATCCATTCATCTACTGATGGACACTTAGGTTGTTTCCATATCTTGGCTATTGTAAATGGTGCTGTGATAAACATAGGGATGCTATCTCTTTTTGAATCTGAGATCTTGTTTCCTTTGGGTAAATTCCTAGGAGTGGAATTCCTGTGTCAACTTACAACTATTTCTATTTTTTGTATTTTGAGGGACCTCCATAGCTTTCCACAATGGTTGAACTAATTTACATTCCCACCAGCAGTGTACAAGGGTTCCCCTTTCTCTGCATCCTTGCCAGCATTTGTTGTTCCTTGTCTTTTCGATGTGTGACTTCTCATTGTGGTTTTAATTAGCATTTCCCTGATAATCAGCAATGTAGAGCATCTTTTCATGTGCCTGTTGGCCAAATGAATTTATTTTTTGGAGAAGTGTTTGTTCATATCCTCCACCCACTTTTTAGTCATATTATTTGCTTTTTGAGTGTTGAGGCCATGAGTTCTTTGTATATTTTAGATGCTAACCCCTTCTTGGATATGTCATTTGTGAATATATACTCCCATACTGTAAGATGCCTATTTGTTCTACTGATGGTGTCCTTTGCTGTACAGAAGCTTTTTAGTTTGATGTCATTCATTTTTGCTTTTGTTTCCCTTGCCCAAGGAGATATGTTCAGGCAAAAGTTGCTCATGTTTATATTCAGGATATTTTTGCCTATGTTTTCTTCTAAGAGTTTTATGGTTTCATGACTTACATTCAGATCTTTCATCCATTTTGAGTTTACTTTTATGTGTGGGGTTTGGCAATAATCCAGTTTCATTCTCTTGCATGTAGCTGTCCAGTTTTGCCAACACCAGTTGTTGAAGAGACTATCATTTCCCCATTGTATATCCATGGCTCCTATTGTATATTAATTGACCATATATGCATGGGTTTATATCTGGGCTCTATTCTGTTCCATTGGTCTATGGGTCTGTTCTTGTGCCAGTACTAAATTGTCTTGATTACTGTAGCTTTTTTAATAGAGCTTGAAGTTGGGGAGCATAATCCCCCCAGCTTTTTTCTTCTTTCTCAGGATTGCTTTGGCTGTTCAGGGCCATTTGTGGTTCCATATGAATTTTAGAACTATTTTCTCTAGTTTGTTGAAAAATGCCGTTGGTGTTTTGATAGGGATTGCATTGAATCTGTAGATAGCTTTAGACAGGATATCCATTTTGACAATATTAATTCTTCTAACCCAAGAGCATGGGATTAATTTCCATTTATTACTGTCCTCTTTAATTTCTCTCATATGTGTCTTGTAGTTTTCAGGATATAGGTCTTTCACATCCTCAGTTGGGTTTATTCCTAGTTATTTTATTCTTTTTGATGCAATTGTGAATTGAATAGTTTTCCTGATTTCTCTTTCTGCTAGTTCATCATTAGTATATAGGAATGCAACAGATTTCTGTGTATTGATTATGTATCTGCAACTTTGCTGAATTCAGCTATTTCTAGTAGATTTGGGGTGGATTCTTTAGGGTGTTTTATGTACAATATCATGTCATCTGTAAACAGTGGCAGTTTAACTTCTTCGTTACCAATCTGGATGCCTTTCATTTCTTTATGTTGTCTGATTGCTGTAGCTAGGACCTCCAGAACTATGTTGGATAAAAGTAGGGAGGTGGGCATCCTTGTTTTCTTCCCTTTCTTAAAGGAACAGCTTTCATCTTCTCATTGTTAAGTATGATGTTGCTGTGAGTTTGTCATATATGGCCTTAATTATGTTGAGATACTTGCCCTCTTTACGCATTTTTATCATCTTCTTTATGTTGAGAGTTTTTATCATGAATGGATGTTGAAGTTTGTTAAATGCTTTTTCAGCATCTATGGAGACGATCATACAGTATTTGTCCTTCTTTTCGTTGATGTCGGTGAAATTTCAAATATTGTACCACCCTTGCATCCCTGGAATAAATCCCACTTGATCATGATGGATGACCTTTTTTATGGATTTTTTTTAACTTTTTTTATATTTTGGTATCATTAATATAAA